CGCCATTTTCGCGATTGGGACTTTTTTGCGCAAAACAAATCTGAGCTGTCTTTTGCCTGAATGGGAGCCGCATAGTATTTCCGCAAGAAGCACTGATTTCTGCGAAAATTAAAGCGGCCAGTGTAAACAGCTGGCAAGTTTTTCCGCAAAGGCAGGTGCTTTTGCGGAAAAACATGCCAGTCTAGACACAGTCCATCAGTTTTCCTTGTCAAAACAAGCATGGAGCATCTCCTTTCTACTGTTCCTCCCACAGCAAGGAGTTTCCATCAGTCATCAAGTTCCCCTTTGTGCACAAGTTCCTATATACACATTTGCGTTCACATTGCCGGGAGTTGTGTTGAACAGCTGTTATTTTTGTACCATTTTTTCATTTAAAATATTTTTTTTTCTGCAATTTCTGTGACTCCCGAAGACAATGGGGCAGTGATCAGTTGCCTGTGAACCCTTCCCCCCCGAGAGGAATAAAGCTGTTTGCTCTTGGGCTATGTCTACACTGCTGGATTCTCACGCAAGAACTGTTTTGCACAAGAGTTCTTGCGCAAAACGTCTTGTGCAAGAGTACATCCACACTGTCATGTGCTTTTGTGCAAGAGACATGCTTTTGCACAAAAGCATCCATGGCAGTGTGGACGCTCTCTTGCACAAGAAAGCTCTGATGGCCATTTTAGCCATAGTTGCCTGTCCACACTGCCTTCTTGTGCAAGAGCTCTTGCGCAAGAGGACATATTCCTCATGGGGAGAGGAATAACTCTTGCACAAGAAGCCCTCTTTTCTGATGCTTTAATGTGAATTTACTTGCGCAAGAACATGCATGCACTGTAGACACTCAGCAAGTTTTTGCGCTGCGAAAAAGCCTGTAGCGTAGACGTAGCCTTCGTATCTGAGCTGACATCACTCCTATGCTATGCTGTGTCTCTGAGAAGCAATAAAACCTTTTACTCTACTGGCTGTGGATGGGTGTGAAGGGTCTGGGGCTCCCCAATACGCTGTTACACATGGTTAAAGCTCCCTCCCACCTCCCAAAATCTGAAATGGTGTGCTGGTGAGCCAAAAGTGCCCAGAGGGCTGCAGGTGGACTGTGGGCTCTGGCAAGATGCAGCCTTCTCCCCCTCCCCCATGTGACAGTGCAAAGCCTGCCTTGAACCATACGGCAAGCATCAAGCACCAAAAGCCACAGCAGCAGCACAGAGGGGTGACTATACACCATATACCAGGCCACCCTTAATTCTGCTCTCCTCCTGGCAGCTGGCGTTACCTTCGTAACTGGGCACCTGGCCAGTACCCACCAATAGCAGACTGCCCGGCCAGTGTTTAATTTATGCTGGGGCTGAGCTGTAGCCTCTGACATCTTCAGTACAAATGAAACATTGTGGAAAGCAGAGGGAATGGGGTGGGAGGGAGCTCAGGGAGCCCTTGGGGGCCTGGAGTGATGTGGAGTGCCAAAATACAAGACCACTGGGAGCAGTGTTCCCTGTAACTAGTCCTGCTAAATCAACCACCAATGTATCAATCTCAGAGCATCAATCCAGGACGTAGTGTAGATATAGGCTGGGAATGGCTGGCTCACTATAAAAAGCAATCGTCCCCCACCCCCACTTGTGGTATCCTCACCTTCTCATCAGTTTTTGTTGGTGGATTGTATCCTTCCTGATTTAATTGGCCTGATTAGCATTGGCCCTTCCCATAATAATGTAACACGCCTATCTTTGCATGTGTACAGTTCCCTGCTAAACTGAACTTTCCACTTCATGCATCTGAGGAAGTGGGTTCCAGCCCACCCAAGCTGATGCCCAGATAAATTTGTTAATCATCAATGTGCCATTGGCCTCTTTGGGGCTTTTGCTGAAACTAACATGCTGACCACTCTGAAACTTTCCCTGATTTATTTTTCTAACAAGCTCCTGCTCACCTCCAGTAGCTTTTTCAGTCACATGCTATGGGCTATTTGTTGCTGCTGGTCTTCATTTCCCATTCAGCCCCTTTCTCTGGGGAATCTGTGCCAGCTCTGGACGCCTGAAGCCTCTCCCACCCAACCCAGCCGCACATGCCCCATGGCTCAGCTTTGGCCTTGGGTGCCATATGGTGTTAATGCCTGTTCTCCTTGCATCACAGATGGGTCTCCATTGCCATAGGATGTGTGGAGGCATCATGCCATTGCACTGTGCAGCCATTCATGGCATGAGAATTTCTCAGAGCAGCGCCAGGCCAGGCACAAAACCCAAATGCTCAGCATGGCCCATGGCAGTCAGGCAGCTGGACTCTGCTACCACGTAGCTCAAAGTCCATCCGTCTCCATTCATGATCCAGCCTGGTGCTGTTTATACCAACACACACTGTGAAATGAATCCCAAAGTCCCCTCTCATTAGCCCTAGAAATTCATGTAAACCATTTGTGACTCATTGGTAAGTTTAACTTCAGTGTTAATCACCAATTTGGGGAGAATCTGCTTTCCCTTTGTGTCCTGCTCTTGGCACTCACAGTGTGGGCCACCAGTAATGACAGAGCTAGCTCAGCAGTTTGGGCTGGCAGGCTTTTCCAGGTACTGGAAATGAGTGAACACTGCATAAGCTTGCGGACATTGTGCTTAAAAACATAAGACCGGTCAGACTGGGTCAGAGCAAAGGTCCATCTAGCCCAGTTTCCTGTCTTCTGACAGTGGCCAATGCCAGGTGCTCCTGAGGGAATGAACAGAGCAGGGGTTCATCAAGAGCTCCCACCCCTGTCACCCATTCCCAGCTTCTGACAAAAAGAGGCAACAGGCACCATCCCTGCCCATCCTGGCTAAGAGTCATTGAGGCACCTATCCTCCATGAATTTATCTAGGGTTGGGGTTTTTTTGTAATGCTGTTCAAGTCCTGGTCTTCACAACATCCTCTGGCAAGGAGTTCCACAGGTTGACCGTGTGTTGTGTGAAGAAACATTTCCTTTTGTTTTAGCTACCCATTAATTTCATTTGGTGATCTCTAGCTCCTGTGTTATGCTTCTTTCCCCTGAAGGAATGGGCCCAGGGATTCTAGTCTTTCTTACATGGCTTATACAAGAATGACCATACTTGGTCAAACCAATGGTCCATCTAGCCCAGCATGCAGCCTGAGAATGACCAGTGCCAGATGAGTCAAAGGGAATGAATAGAACAGGCTTGTTGACCCAAAAGGTAAAGAACTTCCACCCTTTCCATTAACTTCACTGTTGTCAATTCCAGCTTACCTCACCTCCCACAAGGTCTCAGGCAAATCAGGTGAAAGCCACTCCTTTTGATCCAGATGTTTCCCACTCCAGCTGAAATGAGGCAAACTTTGGCCACTGTCAATTTGGAAAAGGCCCACTTAACTCAGCAGCTGTCTCAAAGGATCCATTGTTGTGATCCACGTGGAGCACCGACGTGTGACCCCAAAAGATAACAGATATGAAAGAAACGCAAGGCCAGGTTGGGAGAGGTTTTCATGGTCAGCCTGGGAGTTAAACAGCTGGGCACCTCAAAGGAAAAGTGGACTCAGCACCCATAAATAGAAGTGCTTTAAAGAACCAAATCAGCCTGCTTCCACCCCCTTTTTAAATTTGAGCATATGCTGTCCAATGTGAGATTTTTGTTTTGCAAACAAGAAAAACTAGGAAACTTGTTACTCTACCTGGGAAAAAAGGTTACAAATCCCATCACAAGTAATATTCTTCTTAACAGACGGTTCATTATAAAGTTCATCAAAATAAATTCCATTTCAAACTGAAATAATGGCAGACTCAGCTGGTTCTTTTTTTTCTCATACATGCAGTTTCTCTTACATATTTCCCAACCCTAATTCATTTGGAGTGAGGTTTAACTTTTCAGAATTAGCCACTATTTTCCATATAGTAAGAGAGGGCAGGTAGAGAACTAGACTCCTTTTAGCGTTACAAGCCTGGCTAGTTCCGTTGGTAGACCGTCAAATTTTTAATCTGAGGGTTCAAGTCCCTGGCCACGTGAAATGACCTTCTCCCCTCTGACCTCTCAAAGGGTACATCTAGACTACAGGATACTGTCGACAAAGCTTCTGTCGACAAAGACCATCTAGACTACATCCAGTTCTGTTGACAAAGAATGTTCTAAAGGAATGGTAAAGGAGAATTGTTCCCATTAAGGACCACAATCAATGCCACTTAATTGGGAGCAAAGTACTAAAAAAGGGTCCAGGGGGTCTGTCTCCAGGATGAAAAGCAACCACTGGTACCTACGATTTTCACCTGAGTTCTTCACAAATCCTTGGCGTTATTAGGGAGTGATTTTACACTTTTCTGGAACCAAATTCTTCACAGCAACAGAGCATATCTGTCATAATTGTGAGGTATATCATTGCTCAACATGCTCATTGATTTCCTTAAAACCTGGTAGCACAGATTTAAGTTAGGGACTAAATACAGGTGTGACTCAGAATCCCTGAAAGAAACCAAATCTCAGATATCTTTTAAAAATAGGTGTCTTTCTGCAAGTCTATCCCACTCAACACTAATTTCATTTTCTGCCCCTTTGCTGTATATCCCAGGTGAGTTCAACAGAAATGTCATCCATTTTTTCCCTCTCTCCGTATGGACTGCATTTCCCAAATAGATATGTCCTTGCTTAGAAAGGAGTTATCTTCAGGCATGACCTCTGTTGCACAACCTAGACAAGAGTTTTGGGAGCCAAATGCACAGCTATTTTCACATAATCTCAAATCATTTACTAGGGAATGTGTCTTCCCAGCTCTTTAGGAAAAACGTTGACTTAGTGTGATTGTGTGCAGTTCTTTCCACCGTTTGTGGTGTGCTGTTTTTCACCATTTGAGAATGGAAATTAAAAGTGTTACTGTCACATTGGTAGCATGTCCCATAGCATGGAATGTTTGCTATTAGTGACTGAATTGCAGTTAAACTTTCCCTATAGCAACATGGAGGTGAGGAAAAAAAAATTATATATATATATATATATATATATATATATAAATAATTATATATATATATATATATATAAATAATTACAGTTTGGCAAATGTTCAATTGTCACAAAGTCCTGACTAAATCTGAGACATGCTCAGATAAATAAAACTAATATTCAGTTATGTGACTAAATGGCTATCAGGCAACAGAGAGAAATCTGCAATACAAAGAAGCACAAAATACTCCTGTGGGAATTCTGTGCTAGACATGAATTCTGCACGTGCACAGTGGCGCAGCAGCAATAAAGGCACTTTCCATTTCATAGAAAAGGAAATTCCAGAATAGTTTACATATGATGACTCAAAACAACAACAGAATCTTGCACTGCATTCTCCTCGGATGTATTCAAACCTTCTTCAATCAGTATCACCTTGTTATTATTGTCCTGTTATTTACAAGATATTTCACATCATCATAATAGGGGGAAAGGGGGGGGGACAGCACACCTTCCCATCTGTAAACAAAGCTCCCAGATCAGCAAGGAAAAGTTCAGAAGCAACTTTGCCAACAGATTAAAAACAAAAAAGGGATTAAAAGCATAGTACAATTAATCTGTGTCTGGAATCCATTCAAATTTTCCCTCCAGTTTTGTGACACTTCAATCTCCAGCGCCATGAGAGCATTTGAGAATCAAAGTGTGGTGCCAAACACAGAGAATAGAGAACACTGCATCATGTGGAGCAGGAGGTGCGGATATGGCACACAAGGAAAAAACTCTATTCTGATGCATGCGAAAGCTGATGGGGTGAGGTGCGGATTGTGATTGTTATGAGGAGGAAGTAAATCCCTGACTCACCCTATATTTTTCTGGTGTCACAGAGAGTAAAGTGCCATTTTTCCCTAACTCTGTTCCTGCTCTTTGTTCTAATTCAATGTATTTCAAGTGAGGAAAATGGTACAAAAGAGATCTGCTTTCCAGCACACCCTAAACAAAATGAGGACAAGAGGGAAGGAAACAATTTTCCCTTAAAAGGGAAAACTAGACAACAAACTATTTGAAATGGGGGGGAATAGCAGAACTGTGATGCTCATGGTTTGTTTAAATTAGGAAAAATTAGCAAGCTTAGGTCAGGTCAAGGGGGAAACTACAGCCAACTACTGCCCATAGCTTAGGTCAGCACAATAATTGCAGTTGTTTGTACTCCAAGATCATTAACTTGGTCAACAAGAGACAACAGAGTTTGCCTGGGAACTGTCTGAGAGGAGCTGTGGTGAGTGCTACATTGGGAGACTGATCTGAGTGTCTGCTGGGACCCTTTGTTTTGACTGGAGCTAGTTGCAGGGACCGTTTGTGTGTTTGTTTGAAAAGTGTGATTTGGGAGTTCTTTGTTCCAGATGGGTCCTGAGGGGTTAGTTGGAGGGAAGGGCTTTGAATTGGCCCAACTGCTTTGCGCTGCAGCCATATAAAAAAAGTGGCCCGTTGCAAAGTGAATGAGTGGCGAACAGAGGGAATTTACCTGGAAACCTTCCAAGAGGGACTATGGTGGATTTTTAAAATGATGGTCCTGCTTTAAGCAGGGGGTTGCAGTAGGTCAGGGATGAGGAACCTCCACCCCCACCTCAAACAGTTTAATTGAGTACCTGGGGGGTCCAGCAACCAGGTCAACGCTGCGAGGAGGCCCCAGGGGCCACTATAAAGACTATCCCTAGCCTCACCTGCAGCGCTGGCCAGGCATTTCTGGCTCCTCTCCTGCACATAGAAGAGGCGTGCGCAGGTTGAACTGGCCAAAGGGGGAACGCCATGTGCTGGAGCCCTGGTGCAAATGGGAGCTCCTCCGGCGTTTCTGTGCTTGCTGCCCTTCCCCTGCACCAGGCAGCCAGGCAGCAGCGAAGCAGCTAGAGGTCCTTGCCAGCCTCAGGTGGCTGCAGACACTGCCAGCAACTCCTCCGCTTGCTGGTAAGGAGCTAGGCAGGACTGGGAAGGACAGGAAGCCCCTGAGCCCTTCCAAGCCTGGGGCACCTTTTGGGAGGAAGAGGAGGCCACAGCGGGGCCAGTTTCTCCACACACTCCCTCCACCTCGTCCCTTCCTTTCATAGAGTAGCGGCTGCAGCAGGGAGCAGCATCTGGCAGCCCCAGCCACACGCTGCCAGCAATGCCTCCTTAACAATTAAGGAGAAGTGTGGGACCGGAAGGAAGGGGTGGGGAGGGGAAATCCCTTCCAGGAGTGGAAGGGATGGATACCCAAGCCTCTTCCCTGCATGCGGTGCCCAGAAAAAGGGAGGAAGGAATGGCCACAGCTGGGCAAGCCCCAGAACTCCCTTGCCAGCATGGGGAGCTGGGAAAAGGGAGAAAGGGGCAACCCCATGCGTCTGTGGGACTGTGCCTTCATGGTTGACATTCGTGCCCACTTGACAGGGCCTAACCAGTTTCTTATTTTCAAATGTTTTGACGTTTGAACATAAATGAATGATGTGGAAAATGCAACTGGAAAAGGTACAACATGGCACAATTTTCCACACTTCAAACACAAAAACCTGCATCAACAGTTAAGTTACGCCAGGGAGTGCTCAAGTTTACATGACAAATTTTGTATCCGATTTCCAGACCTAAGATCGAAGGAACTGGAATTAGACATTTTTCCAACCCACTCAATGTAGAAGTACTCAATGTACCTGAAGCCTTTCAACATGAACTTACAGAAATGCCAAGAAACAATGAACTTGTGCCTAAATTGAAAAACCTGCTTCTACTGGAATTCTATGGACTCTATGCAGGTACCGATAAATTTCCGAACTTGAGGAGACGTGATAAAAATTGCGTCACTATTTGGCACTACATACTGCTGCTGATAGCTCTTTCCAAAGCTATTTCTTGCCAAGAACTCCCTGCATGCCAAACTAACAGATTTAAACCTGGAAAGCCAGTTACAAATAGCAATAACTTCAGTTCCAGCAGACAAAGCAAGGCTCAGCAAGGAAAAACAAACTCAGCCATCACACTAAAATTCCAAATGCAAAAGAAAAAAAATCACACTGCATCAAAATATTTGTGTGTGCGCGCATGTGTGTGCACGTGGGCGCTTTTTGTTTTTAATTTTTTTTGCTTCTTACTTTTGTGTGGCCCCCAACTGGTATCTCTGTTGGGCTCCCCACACCTGCAGTAGATGATCTCTTAAGGTCTCTTCTAACCAGTGCTCCCTGTAAACTGTGCACTTGGGTGGCCACCCAGAAGAGATTAAAATGCCACCAAGCTAATAAGGAGAGCACCCGCAGCTATGTTTTGTTTCTATTGATGGTGCACATCCACATACATCTTGGTGCATGTAAAAATGTATTCTGCACATGAATGGAAAAGATTAGAGGGAATACTGCTTCCAACCCTAATCTAGGATTCTATAATTTGAGCATCTAACTGCAGGTACAATCCTAGTGGATTCTGGGCACAGGTAGATCTGGCTTGTTAGGATCAAACCTCTCTCCTTGATCTGAGACAGATAGACGTTCCTGGCAAGAGAGACTCACACTCCTATGACTCACAAGGAAAGGAGTTGATAGAGAGGATCACAAGACTGACCCCCAAAGAAGGGGGAGCTGAAAAATGCAACTCATCTGGGGGAGCTCAGAGGCTATGGTGAAGATGGTTCAAAGATCACAAGGTGGGAGACCTGAGAGGCCATCTATGAGAGTGGCTATCCTGCTGATTAGCAGAGTGCTGACAGTAGCATGTGTTTCTACTGGTGGTGCACCTCTGCATCCGTGTTCCATGTAAGCTGAGCACTTGGGTGCCCACCCAGGAGAGATTCAAATGCAGCTCAGCTAATTAGCAGAGAGTGTCCACATCTGACAGCATGCATTGCTACTTGTGTATGTAACAAAATTTATTCTGCATGTGAATGGAAAACTTAGAGGGAACATTGATGTGGGAACTATCAAATGTGACTAATACAAATCTTTGGCTTGCCCTAGCCAAGGCATTTCTTATAGTACTCTGCCATGTGGATTTTCTGATGTCTAGTAAGTGCTGAGCCCTGACTAAAGTTTTTCCCACACTCCACACATGTGTAGGGCATCTCTCCTGTGTGGATTCGCTGATGCGTGATCAGGGCAGAGCTCTGACTGAAGCATTTCCCACACTCTGAGCATGTATAAGGCATCTCTCCCGTGTGGATTCTCCAGTGCGTGATGAGGTTTGAGCTCTGATTGAAACGTTTCCCACACTCCGAGCATGTGTAAGGCGTCTCCCCTGTATGGATTCTCCGGTGTCTAATAAGGGCTGAGCTATGGCTGAAGCGTTTTCCGCACTCGGCACATCTGTAAGAAGAGATGCCTGTGTGGATTCTCTGGTGAGTGATGAGGTTTGAGCTCCGATTGAAGCGTTTCCCACACTCAGGACATGTGTAGGGCATCTCGCCAGTGTGGATTCTCTGATGCGTGATGAGGGCAGAGCTATAACTGAAGCGTTTCCCACACTCAGGGCATGCATATGGCATCTCTCCCGTGTGGATTCTCTGATGCGTGGTAAGGGCTGAGCGCTGATTGAAGCGTTTCCCGCACTCCAGGCACAGGTAGGGCGTCTCTCCTGTGTGGATTCTCCGATGCCTAATTAGGTTTGCGCTCTGACTGAAGCATTTCCCGCACTCAGAGCATGCATACGGCGTCTCACCTGTGTGGATTCTCTGATGTGTGATAAGGGCAGAGCTGTGACCAAAGCTCTTCCCACACTCAGGACAGGTGTAGGGCGTCTCACCAGTGTGGATTCTCCGATGTCTAATAAGGGCAGAGCTACGATTGAAGCTTTTCCCACACTCTGAGCATGCATAGGGCGTCTCTCCCGTGTGGATTCGCTGATGTGTGATGAGGGCGGAGCTCTGACTGAAGCATTTCCCACATTCTAAGCATGCGTAGGGCGTCTCGCCTGTGTGGATTCTCCTGTGCGTGATGAGGTGGGAGCTCTGATTGAAGCTTTTCCCACACTCCGGGCATGTGTAGGGTGTCTCGCCCGTGTGGATTCGCCAATGCGTGATGAGGGCAGAGCTCTGATTGAAGCTTTTCCCACACTCGGAGCATGCGTAGGGTCTCTCTCCTCTGTGGATTCGCTGATGTGTAAAAAGATCTGAGCTCTCATCAAAGCTTTCCCCACACTCATGGCATGTGTAGTGCATCTCTTCCAAGCTAATTCCCTCATGTACAATACAGCCTGAGCGGCTACACAAGTTTTCCTCTGTCCTGTGCTGACTCTCAAAGGCTTTTGCACAATTCTCAGAAACAGTCCCTTTGAGTCTTTCTGATAACATCCCCTGTGGTTCTACTTGCTCCTCATATTCCTCCTGATGATTATTCTCGTTCTTACTCATGATCCCATCACCTGATGGTGGAAGAGAAAATCCAGACATCAGTCACTTTCTGCTTCAGAGAGAAAGGAAATCTTAGTGAGAGAAATGGAAAAATGTGAAAAGAAACAAAAATATAAGCTGTAGGGAGAAAAAACCTATCAGGATCTGATTTTACCCAAAACTCTTCCCCAGAGGAAAGAGAAGAAGAAATCAGTTCTGGGTCCAGATCTCACCAGATCTACTTGGGGCAAAGCGAGATTAGAGAGGGATTTGTTGCCAGTTGGCAGTCAGCATAGATGGGAAACCATAAGTGACATTTGCCGTAACGACTCCACTCCTGCTGGGAACAATCCCAAACTTGGAGAGCTCACAAGATTCTTCTAGGAAATCCCTCGTGTTTCCTGCATTCCCAGACACTTTGAGTTGGTTTCACCAATTCCTCACCTGTGCAAGCAGCTCTCGGGGGCACTTGTTTCTCAGAGCCCTCCAGATCTGGGACCCATGGTTCTTCCCCTCGTTCCAGTCGGAAGATCATATCAGGTTTGGAAACTGGAAACCCTACTCAAGGCAAAGAACACGAGGGAGGTCAGGGGAATTTGTGGGATACTTATCAGAAAGTATAGTCCGTGGTTTTCTCCCCAGCTAATTTTTTAAGAAGAAACATCTCAAGACCACCTTCCTTGGCTCCAAGTGGCAGGCAAGTTATTATGATTATAAATCACGTTCATTACATTAGTGCCCAACGGCCAATTTAATAGTGTGTCCCCATTGTATTAGGCATAGTACAAATAGAATAGCAGAAGAATTTACAATCTAATTAGACAAAACACAGAATGGGGGAAGTGGTAAAACCCACCGGCAAAGTGAACAATATAAGGGCAGAATAACTGATCTGATGAATACCAGCATATAGCTTGAGACTATTGTATTTCATGTCATGACTGGGACAGTGTTTTCTGGAAATTGTGACTTACTGCATCGTTTTCCCAAAATGACTCTTCATTTCTAGAATCACTTTTCACATGCAGAATTGCTGATCAGAGAGTGGGTGGACATGAAGTGTGATGCCCCTCCTCCCCTCAATTTCTGCCCAGGAACATCTGACTCCTCCCCAGAGTGCAAGATAGAGGCTGGGGCACAGATGATGCATGGGCAAGGCACACAGGATCACACACACACACACCCCAATTTCTGACCACAGACACCTGACTCATCTCCAGGACTCAGGGCAGAGGCTGGGACTGGCAACTATTGAGACTTCCTGAGAGTCTATATAACTCAGCCAGTTTTTGCCATGACGCTAGCCAGACTTTTAAAACACAGTGGAGTTTATCAGTCAACCAAAACACAGCATTGGAATGTCCTTAGATTAGCAGAAAGAAGCAAAGATGAAAACATAGTCCATGCTGGACAATGCCCACACTGTAGTAGAAAACAGTTTGGTTTCATTTCCCTGCACCTGCCCATTTGTTTTAGCTCCAGTAGAACTCCCTGTGTCTGAGTCCAGTTCTTGCTGCTCCCAAAAACATAACGAGGCCAATGTATGCTTCACCCAGCCAAACAGAGATCTTTCCATTGATAGGTGACACTTATTCCATCTCTGTAGGTGATTCCATTTATGTGGGTTGGTTCCAGACCAGGGGTGGGCAATAATTTTTTGCAGGGGACCACTTCAGAAATTTTTGAAGTGGCGCTGGGCCACACCGGAAGGGGCGGGGCCTCAAGAGGAAGGGACAGGGACAGGATACTTCCCTGCTCCCCCACCCACAGATGATGATTGGTCTAGGGGTGGGTAAGTGCCTTGCCCCTCGCCCCAAAAGTTCCCCCTAAGTGCCCATGCCCCCAGGTCAATCAAGGTTTGGGGGTCAAAGGAGCTTGCAAAGTCTCCTCCCACCCTGCCAAGAGTGCATGGTGCTTCTAAGCACCACGCACTTCTTGCAGGGCAGAGGCAGGACAGAGGAAACTTTCTGTACTCCTACCACCCCCAGGCCAATCAGGCCCTAATTGGCCTAGAGGTGGGGGAGGGACAGGGCCTCCGCAGGCTGGATCCAGCCCACGGAGGCCCTTTTTCCCCACCCCTGACCCAGACACTCTTTAAAGTTAGGGCCCTAGCAAAATTCATGGCTGTGAAAGAGGCATCCCAGACCACGAAATCTGATCTTTTGTGTACTTTTACCCTATACTATACAGATCTCACCAGGGACACCAGTGTTTCTCAAACTGGGGGTCCCAATCCAAAAGGGCATTGGGGGGAAAGAGACATTTGTAAGGTTATTGTATGGGTCTCACAGTAATTCTGCATTTACTTCAGCTGGTAGCAGCAACACAGAAGGAAAGATGGCAAAACCTTACCGTGACACCATTATTTCAATACTGCTCCTGGGTTCCCAGCCAAGAGTTGCAGAGCTTCCTGCAGCCGAACAAGTTTCTTGGACATGGGTGTGACCCATTCATGTGCAGATTTTTTCCATTCCTGGGTAGAATAATTTTCTACACACTGCACACTGAGGCATGTGTGAACATGCACCACCATTAGAAACAAAAACCTAACTGTTGGTGCTCTGCTAATCAGCGGGGCAACATTTGAATCTCTCTTGAGCAGCTGCACCAGCATACAATTTACAGGGAATATTGTTGCTTACCCAACAAGGCCACCATCTCATAGTTCTCCTGCATGACGGCTCTGTAGAGGGCTCTCTGAGCGGGGTCCAGCAGAGCCCACTCGGCCCTGGTGAAATACACAGCCACCTCCTCGAAGGTCACTGACTCCTGAAAGAGCAATAGGACCATACTCAGTACCTGCTGCCTCTGTGACAATCCCATTATTCTCATAGAATAGTGATAGAAATTTAGCCGTGTTAGTCTGGTGTAGCTGAAACAAAATACAGGACTATGTAGCACTTTAAAGACTATCAAGATGGTTTATTAGATGGTGAGCTTTCGTGGGCCAGACCCACTTCCTCAGAGCAAATAGTGGAAGAAAATAGTCACAACCATCTATACCAAAGGATACAATTTAAAAAAATGAACACATATGAAAAGGACAAATCACATTTCAGAACAGAAGAGGGATGCAGGGGGAGGGGGGGGAAGGAAGGTGAATGCCTGTGAGTTAATGATATTAGAGGTGGGGAAGGGTAGATGTCTGTGAGTTAATAGTATTAGAGGTGATAATTGGGGAAGCTATCTTTGTAATGGGTAAGATAGCTGGGGTCTTTGTTCAGCCCCCCGCGGAGAGTGTTGAATTTTAGCATGAATGCCA